GTGGATTCAGGAATTTTCCCCTGCCTGGAATGGTCTCCCTAGCCTGGCTCCTTAGCTCCAGTCACTACCCGCCCCTTGCTGGCCAGGACACTCCCCTTGTCTGATCCAGCCCGGGGAGAAGGCCTCCTCTTCTGAGCCCGCAGCATGCACATACACAAAGCTGCACCACATAAGGCACAGTTCTCAGAGTGTGCTCCCTGCACCTGCAGATCAGCGTCACCTGGGGATCTGGTAGAAATGCTCATTCCCAGGCCTCTCCCCAGACCTATGGAATCAGACGCTCTGGAGGAGAGGCCCAGCAATCTGTGTTCTAACCAGCCTTGCAGGACCTGATGCCCGCTCAAGTTCAAGAACCCCTGGATAAGACTCTAGGCTGTGGAGCATCCACTTCCCCTTCTTAGTGACAAAAGTGCCAGAAATTCTTTTGGAAATCACTTAGGGTCGCTCCCTGAGAAAAGTCAATCATCTCTGAAGGACTGCTGGTGACCTTCCTTGGAAGACTGCACAAGTATGACGGTGAAGCACAGGAAATGGTCCATATCCAACAATTTTTGACCTACAAAACCGTAATTTCCTCTAGTGCAGTGTAACAGCTGGGAAAGGTTGTATGGTAAGACTGGCTGTGTTTTGAGGGTTTACAAGGAAAAGGCTGCCCAGTCCCTGATTGGTGGCATCCAAGGAGGGAAGGCTCCATGGGCGGGTGGCCTGGAAGCAGTCCAGACGCAGGCCTCAGGGCAGCATAGAAAGTGGGGTCAAGCTTCATCCAAGGAGGCTGGATCCTCCTCCAGCAAGAACCTGGGGCCTGCACAGGGACGGCTTCAGGGAGGTGCCTCCCAGCATCTGCAGGGTCTGGGCCACGCTGGGCTAAGTCACAACAGCGACACCATGTGGCAACTGGAAAGCAAGGCAGTCGAACTGATGGGACCCCGCACTCTCCCTATCCGGGTGAAGAACTTACCCCCTTTGGGGATGTGTAAGACTCCTGCTCTAATTCAGAGGAAGGGAAGAGCCTTGAGGGGAAACAATGGTCTTTCTACCGCTAAGGCAGACTATGTAATGCTCCAAGCCTCAGTTTCCCTACCTGTAGAGTGGAGATACCACCTGGGTAGAAGGACAATATTCATGAATGGTGGCTGGCTGGTACAGGGATCCCAACCCTTTACCTTGGATGAAATCTGCCTTTCTCCCTATATGCTCCCCTTGCCTCCACATCCAGCAGGCAGCCACTGCTGGCCCTTTGTGTTTTCCGTCTCTGGAGTTTTTACTACCTTGGATGAAATCTGCCTTTCTCCCTATATGCTCCCCTTACCTCCACATCCAGCAGGCAGCCACTGCTGGCCCTTTGTGTTTTCCGTCTCTGGAGTTTTTACAAATAGAAAACAGAAACGGTTTGAGCTCAATGGCTCTTTCCACCATTTGTAAAGACTGTATCCTTTGAGGAGAAAATGCTGGTTGTCTGATGAGGCCAAGAGAGAAGGCAAATGCATCTGAGGACAAGAAAGGGCCCTAGACATTGGGGAATGTCTGAGAGTCCCTCTGTGCTTCCTGACAGTGTCCCCAGGCCCAGAGGGGACGAGCAGGGAGGGGGCAGGCCAAAGGAGATGGCCATGGGGCTCCTGGTCTCCCCAAAGATTTCCACTTGCCAAGTGTGCAGGAAAGCAGCGAGGTCATAGGGGCTGAGGGACAGCGTGGCCTGAGCCAGTGCTCATCTCAATGGTGGTGGAGGGGAGGGGACAGAGGACGGCCTCAACACACCAAGCTTCAGGAGAGGGGAGGCCCACGGACGGCTCCGTGGGCACTCCCACCAGCCCAGCAGAGTTAGGACTCAGAATGGGAATTAAACTGATTTAAAGAAAATAAAATTTTGTATTGCATACATAGAGCATTTGGAATAGTGACTGGCACCCGTATGAGAAATGAACGTTCGATGCTATTGCTATCCTTCTTGCAGGTGTCAAGCCTGGTGTGAGTCTTGCAAAGCCCCGGAGAGGAGGGAGGCTGCGCACCGCCCAACAGTTCCTGAGTTAGCACAGGGCCCTGCACTATTGACACGCACACATTCATTGAGGAGCTTCACGGTTTTAATTATGAACTGGGAGGTGCTTCTTTGAGCTTGCTCTTGGAAGGCACCTCTTTTATACTCATTTGCATGCCAAAGAGAGCAATTCTTCCCCAAAGGAAAAACGATAATTGACTAAAGCTGAGGAACAAGCGACAGGAGACCTCTGAGCTGCCGTTGCTCTTCAGTCCAGCTGTGACACAGGCCCTGAGCAATTCCCAAGCCTCTTAACAGATCCCAGGACCTCACGAAGGCAGGGAGGGAAGACTTGGGTCCCAGCCAGCAGTGGCTTCCCTTGTGTGGGATTCCAGAAAAGATGAATCCACCCATTAGTTTCATGGTCATCTGGAGCCAATTTAGGTCTAGTTAGAACCAAACTTTAAAACTTTTGCCCTGTTGCTCTGTTAAAAAGTTTGTGAAAGTGGAATCGCCATGGGGTCTGGGGAGGCAAAGACGGAAGCACCTTTAGCGGAGAACAGGGTCAAAAGTGCCATCATTCTGTGATCCCCTCAGCAAAAAAAGAACACTCTGCCCCATCTGCCAAGAGGTTCAAGTACTTCCTCTGGAAGCCACATAGTCAGAGCCCCATGGAAAAGGATGGTCCCCAGGCTTGAAAATCCCTGCCACCAGGGTTGTTCTTACCCCCCACCAAATGTCACTTTGAGTCTTCAAGTTTTGCAAATCTACTAGGAAGCACATTGTGACCAAAGTCTCACATCTACAATGGGGACCTACTGTTCAGTTTTGCACTTTTGTTCCATGGAGTTCCTGTTCATTTTTTCTCTAAGGCCTGTGATTATAGACTCCCAGAAGCTGGGCTTCAACTGTCCAAGAGGATTTCTCTAACCAGATCCAAGCCTGTTTGTGAGTTGAACCCACAAGCAGTTATTAACTATCTCCAATGTGCCTGGCCTGTGCCCATGTTGGCCAAGCCTGCGGGCCCCTCTGCTGTGAATGCCTGAAACTATGGGTGCAGAGCAACATATGGGGAGAGGCCTGATAGAGAGGAACGGCAGGGAGACCACAGCCTGGCTGTGGGTCATAATGAGGAGCCACTGACCGATGGGCCACACCCATACTGGCCACGTTCCCCCGCCACAGTTGGCCTTGCTGATTTCTGGAATTCATCCATCAGCTGTCCTGCGACCAGGCTTGGGTGGCTTTAGTAACTGTTCTCTGAATCCTCCAAGTCATGGCCCAGTGCTTACGATGGCTCCCACACTAGGGTGCAGAGCTCATTTAGCCGCAGCTTAGACTCTCTGATGAATGCTTAGAAGCCCTGCTCTTTTCTATTTTTCCATTCTAAGTTCTGACAATGAAGAAAAACAACCCATAGTGTTGCTGGAATGGACATCTACAATTACTAATTTCATGTTTGGGCAGAAAAACAGTATTAATTTTCCAATCACGTGGGCCTAGCCAGTCTCAAAGAGGTCTATGGACCACTGTTCTGGACATCTCACCACTGAGGAGCATGTCATGTGCTTAGGGTACATTTTTCAAAGCAAATGAGCAAAGCAAAGGCTGCAGCAGGCAGTGAGCTGGCCATGCCCTGGGCTGTGTCCCTCCTCCAGAGCCGGCGCCCTACCTGGACAAGTCTCCACCGTCAGGGCTTCCGGGCGTGTCCCGCTGCTCCTCTTTTACAGTCTGACTATTCCCAGGTGGTTGCACGGATCTTGGACTCTGAGCTGATGAAGTTTTCTGAGCCAGAAGGAAGAGAAATTAGAGAAGAAATCAGATAGGAGTCTCTGGAAACACAAAAGCATGTATCTAGAGGACACTGACAACAACGTTCAAGGGTAAGTTTGCTCATTTGCTTCACCATCCAATGAAGCACCTACTGTGTGCCAGATGCTGAGCTAGGCATTGAGGACATACAGTGAGCAAAGCAAACGCGGCCCCTGCTCTCGTCCGATGGAGAAGCAGCACACGTGAGCAGGCAGGTCCAGCTGGGTGGGAAGGCTGCTGCAGCAAGAAACCAGCACTGGCGACACGATGCTGAGCTAGGCATTGAGGACATACAGTGAGCAAAGCAAACGCGGCCCCTGCTCTCGTCCGATGGAGAAGCAGCACACATGAGCAGGCAGGTCCAGCTGGGTGGGAAGGCTGCTGCAGCAAGAAACCAGCACTGGCGACACCTTCCATACTCTGGGAGTCATCCGCTCCCCAGAGAAAGTGGAGATGTTTCATCTAAGACCTGGAAGTGTCCAATTTGTTTATGGCACCATCTAGATGAAAATACATTTTCCTTTCCCCACCCCAGATGGCTTCACATACCCGAATTTGGCTGGAGACCTGAAAGAAAACCAACTGAAGGAAGAAGACGATGAGCCTTGGAAACCTGGGCCCACCCATGGGTCCCAATCACTCTGAGAGTTGGTTCCCTTTTCTCTCACTCCCACGATAAGCTTATCCACTGTCCAGTTGATTTGTAAACCCAAGATGAAAAACTATAAGGCTCAGTCAAAACTGCAAACCACAGAACAGAAAGAGATGAGATTTTTTCAAAATTTAATTTAAATGATGCTTATTTAAGTATAACATAAAAATCGGAAGACGGACAAGGGCTTTCGTGAGCCCTAAGCTGTACTCCTCAGAGCAGTGCTTGTCTTTTATCTTGTGGTCTTCCCAGCAGTGGTCCCCTCTCCCAGACAACACACACACCTTCCTTTGGGACCAGGTCTGCCTTCTTTTAAAGAACTGTTCCATCCCACCCGCTATCCCTGAAGTTCTCATGGAAAATGCCAATCGTAGCGCCCCACGCCCTTGCCTGTGGGAGTATCCACAAGACTCAGGTCAAAGCCAGGTCCTTTCCCTTGACCTGAAGAACCAGACAGGTGAATCTGGTGACAGGTTCTCTAGAATGCGAATGCTGGAATTACTGGCAGCCTTGTTTCTACCCGTCATGCAGGAAGCAGCCTGCAGCAGGAGAGGGCAGAGCCAGCAGGTGGAGACCAGCGGAGAGGGAGAGGGTCCTGGCGGTGTCAAGGCCGCAGTCCAGGTTTCCCTGCGGTCCAGCCTCATTCTGCCCTGTCTGTCCAGAAGTTGTAAGAGTATCATGAGACCTTGAATTTCCCTTTCTGCTTTAGCTGGTACAAGTTGGATATCTGTCACTTGCAACCAAGCATGCATTCCATAGACCATTAGACCAGCTCTGAGGGAAACAAAGTGTCCTGTGGTCAAATAAGCTTGAAAAGTACTACATTATATAGCCCTCTTTTAGAAATTCACAATGCACATCACAATATTTAAGGTTCTGAGAAGTTCTACAGTAAAATAACTTCCTGAATTTTAACTCAGTTTCCCAAAGTTTTTTGACCACAGGACCCTTTGTTTATGTAACATCTCATAGAACTAGTGTTGCATTAGACACATTTCTGAAGACAGCACAAGACTTCATTTCTTTCTACTGTGCTAAAATCTAGCAGATGATCCAAATCCATAGAACGGGACATTCCCGAGCCTGTGGGGTGCCTTTGTGAAAACTGGAAGGGGGATACCTCTGGGCCAAGTGCGTGGCTTGTGAGCAGACAAGGCCTTTGTGTGAGTTAGAAACAGCTTCTTTTCCTCCAAGGGAAGCAGAGACCTAGGCACGTGTCTTGTTGAGTTCTTGGGAGAGAGTGAGATCTATGAGTCTCAGTCTCTGTCCTCGAGGAGCTCTCGGCTTTATGAGAGAACGTGGTAGGGGTGGGCACAGTAGCCAGCAAGAGAAGCTCCTCCAGGCTTTATGAGGCTCCCTTTGGCTTCCTGCTCCTTACTGGTGGAAATCTCCTCTTTCCCCTCAGGGGGTGCTGTTCCCCCACATTGTCCCAGAGAGAGACTCACTCCAGCCCTGCCCAGCTCTGGGGCAACTAGAGACACAAAAGTCCTCTCCCCAAACCAACCACTTCGTCAATTGTAACCATGGACCCCGATGCAGCCAGATTATTTGATAAATATCTCATTTCACCCAGACCCTCCAAAATATTCTTTATTTGTTGATTTATCGATTCATTCCATTATCCAAGAAACATTCATCTAAAGGCTACCATGTGCCAGAACCAGTGCTAGAAGTTTAAGCTAGAGCCTAAAGAAATGGATAAGGTTCCTTCCCTGCCCTTGAGGTGCTCACAGTCAGAGAGACAGACCCCTGTACCATGACTGCAGGGTGTGAACACACAGGGCATCCACCCAAGGAGGACCCTAGGTATGGCTCCTGCCTAGGGAAGTAGCAGACAGCCCCCCAGACCCCCCAGGAGGGGAGGGTCCCCACCCACCATCCTCTATCAACCTCTAGGCTGGGGATTCTGTAGATTAATTTCAGAGTTTCCATCTGAACATCTGAGTG